ATAATTTTGGCTGCAGAAAAATTGAAAGTGTGGTTTTTGAACCAACAATGCTGGCCAATAGAAGACTTCTGTGTTTCCTTTTTTCTAACATATGCCACATGCTCCTTAACGCGAAATTTTAAGGCTCTCTTAGTTTGATCAATGTAAATTAAACCACACTGGCAAGGAATCCTGTAAATACCCCAGGAATTCAAGTCCTGAATGGGGTCCTTGAGTATGGATCTCGGAATTTCATTGATGGGAGAATAAACGACACGAAAGTTAAATTTCTGTAAAATATGTGCAGCTTTATTGCTAATTGATGGAGAGAAGGGAATGACAGCAGAATTTTTATAATCTAAAACAAGAGTGTGCCTTTTGGTGTGTTGAGATGAGAATATTTTAACTGCTTGATTAAAAATGTTGGGTGAAAAGCCCCTGTCAATAGCTACTGCTTTTAAATAACCACTTCTCTCGCCATCTTAGTTAATCATAGAAACTTATCCTGTGAAAATTTAAAAATATAACGCTGAGTTTTGTTGTTTGACTTCTAAATTAGTACTTGTTTGGCGTGTAATGGTTACTTAGTAATGAGTTATGTAAAAATACCTTCTATACTTGCTGTCTTTCTGGGTGATGTCGTTCATCCTGCCATAGTCAAAGCCAAATCTAGTTGAACCGCTTTCTTTCTGACCAAGACTATGGGAGAAGCCCAAGGAGTTGATGAGGGCTCAATAAAATCGCGTTCTTACATGTCCTTTAAAAGTCCTTTTCTGACTTCCTGTTAGAAAGCCGTATGCGTCTTCGATGCTGCTTGATCGGTGGATGATCCTTATTATCAATTATATGCTGTGCCCAATCGGTTCGACCTATGATAGAATAAGTGCGGAAAAAACATCTTGAAATTAGTAAATGACACATTCTGCAGCACTTCTCTGTCATCTTCTTTGGAAAGAAGTCCAAAGGGGTTGTGCCAGGTGTGGTAGCCATGACAATTGTGCATTCTGCAACAACTCGGATGTAAGTTCTCCGAAGACACAAAGATTGGATAGACACAAAATCTGGAAGGCAACGCAGATGAGTTTATCTCTCATTTGTTGAATCAAATGTTTTCGAATGATGATAACATTGACTCCTCTATCGGTGGTCATATTGGAAGGAACTCCATTTGTGCCAGAAAAACTGTAGTTACCAAAGGCTCAATAAGATCAAAGGCAATGCTGTTTCTAGTCCTTAGGTCTGACCACTCTCAAGTCTTGTAAGGCCTTGTTTAGATTATCAACCAGTTATTTTATGCTAAACTGCTTTCCTGTCCTCCTCTTTTCTCGTTTTTCTGCTAGAATATAAATTTCTAGCTCTCGTGAATTTCAAATTAGGTAGAAAGCAGATAATTTTTAAAGGAAGTTTTTAGATGGTAGAATCATAGCGTGTTCTACCTAATGAAGGCCACGTTGCTAATTTGTGCAAATTATCAGGCCTATATTCCAGCTCTGTTCATATGCGATGCGACATGATGGGATCAATGACTGCAAAGGCAATGCTGTTTCTAGTCCTTAGGTCTGACCACTCTCGAACGGTGAGCAATATCTTTAATATAGTCCCACAGAAAGAAGTCCAAAGGGGTTGTACCAGGTATAGCAGCCATGGAACTGATCCATCTCTTTCTATCCATTGTAAGGGAATGTTCTGTTGAGAAAACAGCAAACACAACATTCAGTGTGGTGGTGTGCCGTCCAGCTGAAATGACCTCTTGTTTAACACCTCTAATTGATAGTCTTTTTGACAAATGTAATTATTCAATGTGTAGAGGTTGATTCCGGTTGTTATTGTTTGTTCATATACGAAAAATCATCCTAAAATCTTGTCATGCAGCATCTCACACCAAAGACTCATTTTCGAGCTGTTCCGCTTCAACGCCTTTGTGACATCAAGATTTTCGTATCCCTAAATCCTCACATTATATGTATATAAAACCAAAACAAATTGTTGGACGAAAGCTGTGATGTGTTTGTAATAATACCACAAAAATTTACAGTGTTACCTATTTCATGGTGCCCACAATAACAGGGTAATATTGTTTAGAGATTTTGTGCACACCCTGTATATTAATTACCCTTTCTTCAAAAAAGTTTATTTGAAAGGCTTAATTTTAAAATATGGACTTTTAGTCTCTCAAATGTAGTTTTCAATTTGATCCAAGTGTATCCTCAAAAGTCTTCGAATAATTAACTGTGTCATCTATGAAGATAGATATTCTTTATACATATATTCATGACTCTCATTTTACTTACTTATAATTTTCTATCAAATAGTATATTCTGCTTAAGCTTAGATGTTGTGATGTTGTTAGATGTGAAAGATTGTCTAAAGCGATAGACATAAACTTTGAAGGGCAATGGGAGGATTACGCATACCAAATGAGGTGCGTTACGTATTCATAACTCCGTGAGAGAGTTGAGAAACTGTTTTTGAAAGTATTAGCTACACATATTTTCACTACTTTCGAAAGTATTATCTACACCGATTTTCATTTGAAAGGTACCGGAAATCAAATCAAGTATGAAAAATATAATTTGTCCCCCTCGAAACTTTTCAGTAAGCTGGATCATGTTAGTTAAAGAAAACCAGTGCTATACAGTCTTTTCTTTGAACTATCTGATACTGTTTTTCGAATAACATTGAAGCGTTGTTACGGTTATTAATTCCTTTCATCGTGTTCGTTTCATTAAGTTCCACAATCTATGGGTCAAGCATTTCTCTAAGATCATAAAGTACTTAAAGTTTTGCCTAGTTAAACTATTGCTGGAAAATGCCCAGTTGGAGTAAGATAGCTGAAAAACAACTGCTACTACTTTAATTTTATAGAAAGGAATACTTAAATAGGAGTTGGAGAAAAATGCAAAAATTGTGTTTTGTTCACGAGTAGTGATCTTCAGTTGTTGCTAGTAGTTTCGTTAGCAATATACAGGAGAGTCTATCAGCGTCACGGAGAAGTCATCTGCCTGATTCGTTAAGGTGGCGTCGATCGGATGGATGGAAATGGGGATGTCATAAGCTGATGCTGCTAAAAGTCTCAGTGTCTCTCGTAGTGTTGTCCACCGACTATGGAATCAGCTTGAATCCCAGGAGTCTTCCAGGCATATAAGAGTTAGAAAATCTGCGGGAAACCGTCATTTAGCTCGTTCGAACCGAAGGGGGAGCAACATAACTATGCTTCACCTCATGGCAGAGCATTTATGGCAACAGGAATAAGAATCTCAACTACTACAGTGCCCAAAAGCCTGCACAATACAAGTCTGTATGCAAGACGACCAGTTGTTTGTGTCCCCTTGACTCGAAGACACAGAGGTACCCGTTTATGATGGGCAAGACAACACGTCTCCTAGACCATTCAACAACGGGCGTCTGTTCTCTTCACAGACGAGTCCAGATTCACACTGGACAGAGATTCATGTCGTCAGCTGATCTGGAGGAACAACGCAACGGATACAACCAATCCTGCATTTTTGAAAGACACAGTTAAAGAGGTAGTAGAATAATAGTTTGGGCTGAGATCTGTCTCGTTGGCACACTGCCCAGCATGTGTTTTAATGGAGGAGTTTTGACGGGTGTGCGAAGTTGGTAATATATTTACTAAAGTTGTTTTTTATTTAATCTGGAGACTTCACCTCTCTATCTTAAAAATAGCGCTACAAGTCTAAACTGCGTCATTGAAATTAATCATGCGATCCTACGTAACGCATAATGCAGATACCTCTTGCCCAATCAAATAATTGTAAACCAAAACTTTTTAACTCGAACTGAAGCTTTTGTCACCCTCCCTTCTTCCTCTGAATTGATGCTTCACTTTTCGTTTCAACTTCTGTACTGCGTGGATGCTTCGCTATGCTCGCTTCTATTGTCATCAAAATGTAAAATATTCTGGAAATAGACACGATTGGAGTGCCAAGTGAATTGTGGCCACAAATGTGAATTTAAATAAAATAGGAAATTAATCCTGCTCGACTTGTTCCTCTTTAATGGGAAGTATTTACGCTAAACAACATTGCTACGCTTCTACATCTCAGTGTTCTTACATCAGTGTTTCCAAAATTGTGCTTTCATTACATATATATATACACTCTGTTACCCGGCTCGGTGAATTCAGTTTTCTTATTCTTGTATGTTGGTGAATTGTGCTTTTTTTTTTTCGGCTTAAAAGTTGTTGAATTATCTTGTTCTTATATTTCGGCGAATGTTTTTATGCCTTTAGTTAATCTGCATGTAATAGTTGTAGATTTATCAGCAATTTAAAAGTTGCGTAAGTGTTACTGATCATAACAAAGCCGCCATTTATATGCCTTTCAAACTCTTATTAGAATAGTGAATTAAGTCAGTTTCTGCCCCAACTGCAGTGTCTTTTTGCGGAGTGGGACTAAATAAGTCTTGTGCCCGCTGACCGTATTGCTTGTTTTTGTGTAGAATTTTAATTCCAAAAAAAAAATTTAACTGTATTTGGTGTTTTATGTTTTCCTATATTTTACAATTTTTAATGAAGATGTTTTTAGTTTTTATGTATTTTTGCCTTGGCGCGAAGTGAGAAATATATCTTTAATAAAATTCGAGGAAATAAATTTAAATGAAATGCAGCAAAAACTTAATATACTGTACAAGAAAGTCATGTGGTGTCCACATCAATTTCTTTCTACTTTAGCTTGTTATTTTTCATACGAATGCAAATTCTGCAGATATCAGAATCGAGGTTCAAACTGTTACTGTAGTGACTTTCTAGAGACTATATGAGCTCACGGATGTAATAAACAAACAATACTGAAACTTGATTGAGGAATAGTTACGTAAAAAAATAGATAGATTAAAAATACGTGTTTAGTGAACATAATTTTGTAGGTAACTGTAAGTAACAAAAAGTTTAAAAAAATTTTAACGTATTAATTGTTTAAAGTAAAACAGACATAATTTTAGAAATTAAATAAGCATGAAGTGATAAGTTGTGATGTCTAGTACTATTAAACAAACATTTCTATTCACAAATTTCAAAACATTTTATTCTTCTAAAATTGGGAATGTTTTAAACATTTTCATTAAAAGGCAATGAATTTCTGAAGCTTTTAGAATTTATTAACGTCTGCAGAGAATTTTATCCATGTAGATATGTAGATGAAGTGTAATCCAATTCTCCATTTACAGATTCCTGAAAGCAAATAAATAAATTAATTAATAAAAAAGCATCTAAGAAAAGTTACTATAAATTTAGTTTAATAAATATCAAAACTACTCCTTAATGTGGATTTTCTGCAATTAAATTCACGCATTTATAGATTAAAAATGACTACATTTTAAAAAGAGACAATTTTATTGAAACGTTAGCTTGTTTTCTGTGCTCAAAAAACTTCGAGAATTGTAAGCCGGGGATAGCCTGGCTGCTTTTTTTTTTTCGTTTTGGATGCGTGAAAGTTAAAACTGAAAACTGAAAACAGTACTTCAGTTAAAACTGAAAACAGTACTTGCCAGAACCTGAAACAAAATTTTATTATTGGTCAAAACGAACATGTTTCTATGCATGTGAAATAAAAAAGAGCATTCAGTACTGTTGCTGAATTTAATACACGTGTACAAGCAAAGGAACTTCCTTTTCTGATCAACACTATTTTTACATAATGGTAGGAAAGATATTACACTTTAAAAATGGGCAATATTCGTAAAGTAATATTATTCAATTTAAACATACGTATCTTTATTTCTCTATTCCAAATCTATAGTAGTCTAGTTTCCAAAATAAATTTTAATCTTCCTAACTGAGTACAAATAATAGTGAATTTACTGCGTATTATGTTAACTCACAACATTTTTGCTGTACGCGAAAACTGACTTGTCTCATATTTTCGGAGATCACTTCTGCAGAGAATGGATATATCATAAACGTGAAATATAGAATTAATAATTACTGCATCTTTTACTATGAACGGTTAAGTTAAGAATACATTTATTAAAAATCTCTGCATCTAATATTAATACCACATTTACGGATTTAGCACTCTAGAAGAAAGAATACTTTTTCTCTCTAGGGAAAATATTCGCCACAATTTTTAAATTCACCACACTACAATGCCGCAAGAAGTGTAATCTCATGGCATCAAAAATATAGCGCACATCATTAAGAGTAATAATCTTTTCATTACTGCTATCAAAACGTAAACAAATGGTATGAAGGTGTACTCTAGAGCCTATGCAAAGGCTTCCTAAACGTAGAAGAAATGATGTCATCAGAAGCTATACCCAATCCCGAGGATGTATTTTTCCCTATGCGCGTGGTGCGGTGCAGAATGCTTATATGCATACCGGTTACACTAGTAGTATACTATCGCTACCGGCATATTATAGTACCATCAGTATTGCACATCAATAAAACCACGAAAACGACCATGCAGCCAACCCGGTCGCGGGATTCGAACCCCGGACCGAACTACCAGTGTTCAGCGACTTTACCGCTCGGCCGCTGGTGGGCGTTTCTTGTAAAGAATTCTGCAAAGCAGAGCTAATCCGTAGAAAAAAGGCGATGCCCATTATTTGTTTTCGTCTTTTTAAGATACGAATGAGCATTAATCACTTTGTTGTAGAGTTGGCGCTGAGCATTTTAATGATTGTGCAACTGTTCTTTGACTTGTCGAGTTTCCTTTCAACATTCCAAATCTTACCTTTGCAATATTCGAAACATTCCATTTTTTCCTTGGATAAATATTTGGAGCAATTTCTCTCCTTGAAGCTAAACTTCACCGTTTTTCTCCCTTTCATGTTGACAATACTACCTATCGGGGCTGGCTGCATGGGTGTTTTCGTGGTTTCCCCGTGTGTAACGTGTATACGAGCCAGTTTCCCTTAGAAAGTCCTCCACGAAGGCATCCCTCCCCTTAGGCAGATAGCCCTAGTGTGCTTTGCCATAATTAAATACTCCACCTACTACCTATCGTAGCTTCAGATATCGAAAAACCATGGCTTTCCTGTAGCTAACGGAGTTTTCTAAAGAATCAAAGTAAAACTGATCCTGAACTTTAATTCTTTAAATATATTTTTTTATTTATTATTTTAAAAGTTAAGTACTTGTTGAAGTAAGCTGTTAAAAATCAGCATAAAATACTTTATTGAAAATAGAAGGAAACTCGGTAAAATCTTAAACAAAATTTAAAACAAATTTTATATTTTATTCTATTTTAATAAAAATAAAAATATTTCACCAAAATAGAAACTCTAAAATCTTAAACAAATTTAAACTTTTAAAACAACTTTGAAGAACTGACGAAATTTTAGTATGATAGGAAAACATTTTATATAGATAGTGAAGTGATTTATTTTGTAGTTTGTTGGGAACAAAATCATTTTACACTTTTTGAATAACTATTTTATCTTTTAAAATCGCTTCTTTGAATGGACGAAAAAGAAACGGATTATGACAGATGCAACACTAAAAATATAATAGATTCTATATCAAATTTAGTAGAATATTTCAGCGATGGCGAACACTTTAGGCTTGAATAAGAGATTCGAAAAATGAGTAATTTGGCTAGCAGTACATAGCAAAAACCTTATTAGAAGTTGCCAAATTTTCAAAATGCGCAAATTCTAGCAACCGTGCAATAACTATCCTTCAGGCAATTATGCTTATAGCAGTACTTCAACCAAGCAACGTCTTCATTCTATTATGCATTCTTTTTGTTATATTTGGAAATCCAATGTTTTTTATTGAAAAATCGTGATGTTTTTTGCCACAAAATCAATTTTAAAACATGCGCTTGTGGAATCTCGCAGTAGTGGGAGAAACTCCAGTAAAATTTCTGCAGGAATACAGAATTTCGCAACAAAATCGCTAAAGAAGGCAAAGATGAAATGCGTTTCTTAGACAGTTGGTGTCGCCGAAGTTGCGTGATGCCGAGTTTATGCGGTTCGCTGATGTTTTCTAAAGCGAAGACCGGTGTCTGTGTACATGGCAAGACGAACAACGCAAAAAAAAAGTAACACTTACGCGAAAAATACGTTTTATTTCTTTAATGTATCGTATAATTCTTATTTAATAATTAAAATTTGTATTTTAAGTTGAAATGCGTTCTTTTTTTTTTTTTTTTTTTTTTTTTTTTTTTTTTTTTTTTTTTTTTTTTTTATTTTTTTTTTTTTTTTTTTTTTTTTTAATTTTTTTTTTTTTTTTTTTTTTTTTTTTTTTTTTTTTGTTTTTTTTTTTTTTTTTTTTTTTTTTTTTTTTTTTGTTTTTTTTCTTTTAATTTTTTTTTTTTTTTTTTTTTTTTTTTTTTTTTTTTTTTTTTTTTTTTTTACGATTTGAAAAACAAAATGTTTTGGGCACAAATACTGATAGTTAGGGAATCTTTTTTTAAAAAAATCGCGAAAATCGTCAATTTGGACCCAACAAGTAAGTTTTACCTTTTCATTTGTAAAAAAAAATTCCAGATTGCGCTTAAGTGGTTGCGTTAATACGTAAGAACTCCACCCTCAACCAAACGGAAAAAAAGCAAATTTTTAAATATTCTGTTATGAAAGTTATAGTTAAATCATGCATAAGATTGTTATGAGATTGTACAGTTAACTGCAAATAATTATGAAAATTAAATATGAGTAAAATATCCTACTGTAAAAGAATAACAACATAAAAACATTTTCATTAAAATAGCTTCATGACTCAAACCAATTTCATATAGTAGATAATTTAATTGAACGGCAGATAAAGCTCAGTTTACGAAGAAGGAAAGACACGTTTAAGAAAAATGCCGTCCCAGTATTCAAACATTCACCGAGAAAAACTTCTTGAGAGTGATTTATAACTAATACTTACATCTGTATTTTTTTCCCCCAAATGGCGGGCACTTGCCTATGCCGGAATTGGCCACACTAAGGCCAGATGTGGTGGTCTCTTTATTATGGAGACACCTAATATGCGGGCCACGTTTGCCTCCTATGAAGGGACAGACAATTTTTACATCCATGCCTTCTCCGGTATCTTCTTCGGTATCGCAGTCTTCTTCGGTATCGCAGTCAGACAACCACTATACCGTCTAGGTGGCATTTCCATACTGTAATTGAATGTATCATCTCTGTCCACATATCTGAATCTTGCATTAGCTTTAAGTAAGAATAATTGCATTTAAATAAATCGTTTTCTAGTTTTGTGAGTTCATTCAATCGTTATTTGCGGGGACTAATCTACGGAAAAAGATTTACTCCAAAGTACTGCAATGAGAAGGAAGAATGACCTTGTTTGTTTACATTAGCTGTACATAAATCACGCGATGTCTTAGGCCGTCTACGCATTGTTTATTTACGTTAGCTATACATAAGACATGTGTTCTCTAAGACCATCGGAATGTATCTCATTAATGCTTGAGCATTTTCTGGCAAATCAATTACATTTAATCTTCTAGTGGTTAAGGTATTTCTCTCGCCTTCTTAGCATGCCTTCGTAATGTAGTGGTCAGCACGCTCGGCGCGTATTCGAGAGGCCCGTCGTTCGAGCCAGGCGAAGGCGTTGCTCATTTTTCATCTCTCCTGCTTCAAAGTACCTAATGTCTCTACAGTGGCGCCCGAACTAAAAGGGTGGTGGATGATGATTCTCTACATTCAGAATTTGGCGGCTGTGTCGCCTAAATCCCAGTCACCCTTTAAAAGCGGGAGTATATAAAGTATTTCTCCCGCCTTTTTAATGTAGTGACCAGCACGCTGGGTGCGTATTCCAGACGTCCGTGGTTCGATTCCCGGTGAGGGCATTGCTCATTTTTCATCTTTCCTGCTTCCAAAAATTCCTAATTGTCTCCTCAAGGAAATGATAAAATTTGGATAAAAATTTCTTTGCTATGTTAAGGAGAATTTTCTAGATTTCTAAATAGTTGTAGTTGGTAAATAGTTGTAGTAAAATTTTAGCATTTGTAACCGTAGGCAATAATCGCGAGTAACAGAGTTGTCTTTTAGTTTTTGGTCACGTTAATGCAAGTTTTGTTAAGATTAAAACTCGCCCGAAATAACCGATTGTTAGATAAGTGATTATCTTACCTGTAATTAGTTTTTGTTAGCAAAACAATTTTGAAATACGCATTAGTCTTCAAAATATCTAGATAGTAAGTAACTCCAAATTTACGATGTTATGAATTACGGTAAAGAATGTGAACTTATATACCTAAGGTATGGGATCTTTGCGAGGCCGGATTTAGCCTTGATAAGGCCCTAAGCTATTTGAGATATGGGGCCTTTTATAAGTCTGTTATACTATATTTTAAAACCATATTTACACTATATATTAATTTTTTGGGAGCCCCCAAGAAAGTGGGGGCCCTAAGCTATAGCTTGTGTAGCTCATACGTAAATTCTGCACTGATCATTTGGTGAAGAACATTCTACGTGAGGCCAGTCCAACTCAAAAGGCTTGCCGTGCTGCCTTGGAAATGCATTTTACTCCGGGGGGTTGCATTGTATACATATATATAATTTTTTAAGTTAAAATTTAAGACAATATTATTAAAAACGTTTTTATCTTTATTCATAAATTACCAATAGAATAGTTACTGATTTATGCCTATGCATAAATTATTTTAACAATTAAGTCAATAAAACAATCGAATAATATTATAATTAGTGCGATATTGTTTCTGTATTCTTTCGTTTAGTTTTTTTTTTCAACTCGATATCACTTTTTGTATTTGCACACTGAAATTGATGTCAGAGGTTTTTGTTATTTGAGCATGCCTGTGATTTAATGTTTTGCGAATTTTAATTGCGGAATTAAAAATTTAATATTCGCAGGTGTAAGTTAATTCAAAAGCACTCACAGCTTTTTGTACCCTATTTCTTAATTTCTTTGGAGTGGTGAAAGGGTTATATAAGTGTCTTATAAAAGTCAGTTTTTGATTCTGATGTTTGAAAAGTGCATTTCAGTTCGTCAATGCAAAGTCAATTGGAGATTTTTCGACCCCTACGCGATTCAACGGGAAAGAAGTAACATATTTCAACGTGTTGCCTAAATTGCTGAATCGAAATTGTTATTTTTTTGTTTTTTTTTTTTTTTTTTTTTTTTTTTTTTTTTTTTTGTTTTTTTTTTTTTTTTTTTTTTTTTTTTTTTTTTTTTTTTTTTTTTTAGACCCCGGGTTCTTTTGTTAGCATATATTTTTTTTAACCATTTTTTTTTTTTTATTTTTTTTTTTTTTTTTTTTTTTTTTTTTTTTTTTTCCTCTTTTATTTCAATTTTTAAATTTCTTTTAAATTTTTTTTTTTTTTTCCGGAAATTTTTTTATTTTTTTTTTTTTTTTTTTTTTTTTTTTTTTTTCTCCCCGTTGGCAATTGAGAAACCATTTGCCATATTTCGAATTTTTAAATTCTTTCAATGATGGAAAATGTTGAGCGTTACTATTTTTGATACTGTAAGAATTATGTTAATTTTATTAACAGTTAAATTTTTAGTTAAACTTCCTTTCCTATACCTTCTTAATTTTAACTTACCACTTCTGGCCTAAACGTAGTTTTAGAATCACGCTTGAATGCAAATCGAGGAAGAGCGATATTTAACCGCGAAGTTCTACTGTTTTAGAGAGTACAGATCATAACATCTGCATTTGATGTAACTCAAATTGATTCTCGATAAGACAAATTTTGATTTTATGAATAAGGATATAAATTAACTATTACTACTGTATTTTTTCCTTACATTTTCGGAAAAAATGATTAAAATTTGAGACCTGTCTTCTACAGAACAGCAAGCAATGCAATATTTGATTCTAATATGCTAATCGCATTAGAATAAGTTTAGTTGTTAAAGAGAAAATTATCGTTTTCTGTTTGGATGTATTTAGATTTGTAAAGGAATCGTATTTGGAGCACACGATAACAGAATACGCGATAACATTTCGTTTCAGAAGTGGCAAAACTGCTAGTAAAACATATCAGATGATGCAGAACGCTTACGGTGAAGAGTGTTTGTCGCGTTCTAAAGTGTTTTTGCGGTTTGGTAGATTTCAAGATCGTACAAATGACGTAAAAGTTCACGGGACGTCCTCGGAACAAGCAGAACTGGCCCGAACATCGAACATAAATCAAAAGAGTCGATTAATAATTAGAATGTTTGCAGAACATTTAAACACTGATAAAGGAAATGTTCGTACAATAATTGGCGAGGATTTAGGAAAACGGAAATTGTGTGATCGTTTGGTTCCACATTCATTCGCAACAGAAAAAAAGGTATGATTGAGGTTCGGCTTGTCAGAACCTTCTTCACTTGCGAAATCCATACTTAAAAAAAATCATCATAAGTGATGAATCGTAGTGCTTTGCCTACGACTTAGAAACGAAAGAGACAGAGTGCAGATTGGGTTGGCCAAAACTCGTCAAAGCGAAAGTGCGTTTCCAAAAATCCAAGATGGAGGCAATGTTAGTGGTTTTTAACTAAAGAGCACTGATTCACCAGGAATTCCTTCCTGAAGAAAAAAAGACAAAGAACGCTGTCTTTCATACAGGCGTATTGGATCGCCAAATGAAATGCATTGCGCGTGTCTGGACTTTCATACAAACGAAAATTGGTTCTTCTTGCACGATAATGCTCCGTCTCACAACGCGTTTTTTTTCGGGGGGGGATGAAATTGTGTCACACGCACCCTAATCTCCGGACTTATCACCAACAGGTTACTTTGCATTTCCAAAACTGAAATTAAAGCTGAAAGGCTATCGATTCGGTGATATCAAGAAGATAAAACAAAGCGTTACGCGGAATTTAAGAAGCATTCCAGCAGATGACTTCCAACTAACTATGAAACGGCTAACCGCGCTAACTAATATATAACTTCATAAGGGTTATAGGTAGAATAATTGGTTAAAAGATTACTGCACTTATCTTTTTTTTTTTTTTTTTTTTTTTTTTTTTTTTTTTTTTTTTTTTTTTTTTTTTTTTTTTTTGTTTTTTTTTTTTTTTTTTTTTTTTTTTTTTTTTTTTTTTTTTTTTTTTTTTTTTTTTTTTTTTTTTTTTTTTTGATGAGCTCAGTCCTAAAACATTTCAACCGGATTGTGTATAAATAAATAGAAATATGTAAATACAGGTATAATCATTTACTTTAACATATAACTCTATATTGACTTGATGGTATTTAATAAAATACAAGATGGATTTAAATCTGAAGTCACATGCAAACGAAAAAATATTTCATTATTCTTTAAATGAAACCGAAATAAAGGAATAGCATGGTTTAATGCCACATGTAACAGCTACATGACCCAAAGAATGTTAGGCTTATAGATAGCACAAAATTCGAACATGATTTTTGTCCAAATTAATAAGACCAAAGGCACTGGACCTGTATTAGCAACTGTTACATTCATCTTTTATTGCCGATATTCAAAATTTAATTTATTTCTAGCGATCCCACTCTTTTAACATAAAAAATTGAATATAAAATGTCTTTTAACTTCGACAACTAAATGAAAATAAAAATGAATTTTAAATAAAATTGTATTACTTAACTATCAATAAGTATCACATACTTATCGGAAGATCAATGAGAATTCAGCCTAGCGTGTCTCCCAAATATCCTAGAAGATCTTCGTTCTGCTGCTCCGGCACAGGTTGAGCCTGAATGGCAATCATTGCTGCCAGCGCCAGCGTCAAAAGGAAAACCAAACTGCCTCGTAATACCTCCATTTCGAAGATGCAAGAAACTGATCTGTTTGAATGCTGTTAAAGATATTCTATTTATAAGAAAATTTATCCACGAAACAATGAATAATATCATGCAAAATAATGAGGATGCAAAACAGGAAAGAAATGAGCGAAGTCTGTTTCGAAAAGGCGGAGCTATACATATTTTTTCACCTGAGTCAAAGAGGTAAAGCCGCGCCCTTGTATGCAATGCCATTTCATGACACACCACCAAGCAAACAAACAAAAGAGAGATGGAGAAATACACATACAATAAAATTTTAGCACATCTGTACGCTTTTGTTATTCATTAAAGTTAACTACTCTGTTTCCAATCACACTATCAAAACTCTTGCAATAAGTTTAATCATATCTTTAGATATTCAGAAAATTACACATGTATAGAATTACAGTTTTGAAGAAAAAAAGCATTAAAAGAATCTGAAAGCTTTCAGATTTTATATAACGCCCAAAAAGCCTTTTTTTTTTTTTTTAATTTATTTATTTATTTATATTTATTTATTGACATGTTTCGAGAGCATTTGGGCTAACGGTACATTCCGCTAAAAATATTTAAAAATAGCATATCCATGCATGAATTTCCGGTAGACAGTCCCGCGCGCTGAAGATCAAAATATTTTATTTCCTACAGAGTTGCCACTATTCGGTTTGGAATTGTTGATTTTTTTTAATCAAAAATTCGTTTAAATTTTATTACATATGAAATAAACAATAAAACAAATTCCAAATTCTGGCTTCCAGGTGCCCATGTTCGGGTGGAGGACTATGTTATTCAAAACGTGATGACTCTAGGTACCAACTCTCTGAACTACTGTGATGACTCTAGGTACCAACTCTCTCATCACGTTTTGAATACTCTAGGTATTCAAAACGTGATGACTATTTGTTTTTTCACAATGCGAGAAACATACATACATTCATATATATTCTTCTTTATTTAATTTCTTTAAATATAATACAGGGAAATACTATTTGGTGGCAATAATTTGAAAAGTGATTCCGACATTTAAAGTGATTCGACGCAAAATCCCGTTTCGAGATTAGCTCTTTTATCCCTTCTGGGGTAAAAATTTTCCTTTTTTATAAATGGCATAGGCATATATCATTGAAATAACATAAATAGTAATAAAACTAATATAAGAAGTATTATTACACTAAGTTGTCTAGTATTTTAATTCTCTAATTTTTCTTGCTTTTAGCGAACCAAGATCATATAAATTTTCAAAATCTATTAATTCATTTTATTCGTATTCTATAGAAAAAATGACCATGTTAGAAAGTTTTTAATGCTGCTTGCAAATTCGGATACGATTGAACTAAACTATGTTCATGAATTATACTTCAAAGATCTAAACTTAGAGATACTTTTAGTGTCCGGAATTATTGAAATATTGCGTTTATTAAAACTCTGGCTGAATTTCTCCATAATTTATATCATTTCGAACGTTGAAACATTTAATTTGTTCTCTTAACATTTCGCTTAATTTTTCGTATCTCTATTTCAGTTGCAAGATTAAAAGAACTATGTACTAGAACACATCGATAATTTCTATTATGAAAAAAAAAATATTTTTCTGAACGGGGCGTTTTTTTTTTTCATCTGATACCTGATAATAATAATGATAATCTGTTTGGTTTTTTGTTCAAATTATGTTGAACCTGATAATCTGTTCGGTTTTTGTTCAAATTAAGTTGAATCTCTAGAGTTAAATTTTTACATCCAAATGATCTGCATAAAGGAAAATGAAACCTTGTATTAAGCATGCGGCTTTATAAACAGTTAATCGCTTTTGATTGTAGTGCTTTAGTCCATTTGCAGTACTACTGAATTCCAAGCAGAAAACCTGCAGAGATATTAGTTTATATTGATACAGGAACGTGATAAATGTGCAATGCCCTAGCAGTGCCGGATTTATGTATGAGCTGCACAAGCTATAGCTTAGGGCCCCCTTCAAAAATTGTACTATATCCCGCATTAAGAAAAAAAAAATTTCTTATCCCTCATAAAGGGCTCCATATCTCAAATAGCTTAGAATCCCGGTCAAATCTAAATCCGGTTCTGTGTCCTAGACGGGATTCGATCTCCAAAATGCACGTCTAGCGTGCTTCCAGTTGCACTATGAAGGCATGCGGAAAGGAGGGAGAAAATACCTTAAAAACATTACATAAAAGTTTAACTTTGATTTACTTCAAAATGCGTTTAATTTCCTTCCAATGCAATAATTTATCATTTGATGCCACAATTTTTAATAACCAATGTACTTTGGTTACTTTTAAATGCAATGCTTTAATAGCAATTGTTCTTGGCGTCCATCGCATATCCGTGTTGCTTGCTTTGAAAAGAATAATATAGTTAAAAGCGATAAGACTAAAAAAACATTTCTAATTTACAGGGTGCTACAATACTGGCATAGGTCTCTGTGTAGAAATTTAATGATGTCTACACAGGTATCTCTGTGTAGAAATTTAATGATTGACTTGTTGTTCTTACTAAAATCGTTTAATTTTCTCAAATTCTCATAACACTTTGCCACCTGCTGGTTGGAATCCTATTACTTTCCATGAATTTTAAGGATCGTCAGTTTACTTTAATTCACCTTTACCATAGATCAAAAAATATTTTCTTCCGACATGTTAAGTAAAACGTACAACTTTCGTTTTAAGAGGCATTCCTGCCCGCAAAAACATTTTCTTAATAATTGCTTGCTTTTAGGTTTTCTGCTGATCTTCGTTATCACAAGTTCGAGTGGATAATTCTGGAAACTTGTCTTGGTACGCTTCAAGGAGAGCGGGTAGCTGAACTGTATAGTTTCCAGAATTTCCCCATGTGTAATTTGATTATGAAACAGTTCCTGCCATATCATCAACGAAAGCATCCCTCTTAAGCAACGAGAGCATATCTTCAACGAGAGTATCTCTTCTTGAAGGTTTGCTTATGCAAAAACTAGTTTGCCGTTGGCTTCCCCATACTTTAATTGAGCACCAAAAAGAGGGGCTTGTTAGAATCAGCAAGAAGTCCTTCAATTACTTAAAGATGACAGCCATCGCATTATTTCTAAATTTGTAATTAGTGATGTAACGTACATATTAATTTTTATAATATTTGAAACGTACATATTATTTTTTAACTTAAAACACACGATGATGTGCCAAAATAGCCTTAACCACCACCCCCAACAGTCTTGATTTTATTCCTGATTTAGCCCGAACTGAAACAAGCTTTTGACCGACATTCTCATATTAGCCTTCGTTTTTGCCCTGTTCACACAAACGTAAAGAAAAGTGAGTTTATCGCCTTTCGCCAAAAATTTTTAATTCTTTAATGGAAGAAAAGCAAAGCTCCGGCGATACAGCAACACCAAAATTCTCATTATAAATTGTTTACCTTCACCCACCATTTCTTACACCGAAACAATCATGTGGTACATATTAGCTTATCTTCGCACTCAATCTTTCTGAAAGACCCTTTTTCAACATGACATTTATTTGCTTCCTTTTACTTCCTTGTACGAAGTAAAGGAAGTATTGTAATCACGAAAAATTCTGGATATTATATTTCAAAAAAAAAAAATATCCATTTTGACCGCTATCGAATGCAATTTAAGGATGTTTTTGCATGACATCTGTACGTAAGAACAGCATAAAGGACTCTTTTTCCCAACATGAAATATAAAACTGGTTTAAAATAGATTCAAAAGAGAATTTTTCGTGGCATCTGTGCGTACGTACGTACGTAAGTATGTATGTATCTGGCATAACTCAAAAATGAGTAGCCTCAGAACATTGAAATTTTGTATATCGGACTGCTATAACATGGAGATGTGCATGTTATAGCACCAAAAGTAGCAATCGGTCGCACCAAAAGTATATAAATATATCCACTGTGTTACTCGGTTCAATGATCTCAGTTTCTTTATACTCATATGTTTGTAAATGGTGCATTTTTGGCTTTAAAAATGATTGTATTGTGTTGTTCTTATCTTCCGGTTAAGGTTTTTATGCCTATAGTAAATCTGCATGCAATAATTGTAGAATTATCAACAATTTATAAGTTGTTTAAACGCGGCCAAGTCTAAGTTTTTTACAATAGCAGCCATATTTGTTTAAATTTGAAACTTAACAGAATGGTGGATTTGTTGCTAATCTAAAGAAACTAAGCTTCGCAACAACAAAGAAAAGTCTTCTTTTATTATTGAGAGTTAATTTATGCTTAGTCCATGCTGGAACGATCATTTAAGTTATTAAATTATTCCATATATTGACTCAGGGTCCACAACAAATTAAATCAGTTTCTACACTCTCAGTGTCTTTTTTCTGAGTGAGACCAAAAGTAAGCTTTCAGTTCTGTACACCGAGAAATCTGTCTTCTTGCCCGCTGGCCAAATTGCGTGCTTTTGAATAGAAACTGTAATTTTAATCGAAAAAAAGAATTATTGTTTTAACTATATTTGATGTTTTATGTTTTTCTATTTCATTCAATTTTTATGTATTTTTGCCTTGCCACGAAGTGAGAACTGAAATAATTGAATGAAAATACACCTCTAGTGAAATTCGAGGAAATAAGTGTTTCATATTAGCAGAAAATACTGTCGCCAGTCTGCTTCGGACTGAGCAGAATGCTTACGAGTAGGGCATGCGCATTAGGTAAGCAACGGTGAATCGTCTGTGAAAAACTGTTTATTTTTTATTTGCTTAATTTCTTTTATACTTTAGATTTATTTTAGTATTTGAATAGAACATGTGGCAGCGATTAGATAATTCTTCAGATGATATTTTTTTTTTCGCTTCTGAGTTATAAAAGGAATGAAATGTTACGCTGTTGTGAATCTAGTGCCAGTGTATCGCTATGGTTAATAAATATACTGAATTTTAAAATGCTCATTTATTCTATTGGGATTTATGCACTATTGACGAAGTAGCTTTAATTCAATTCAATAAGTTTAAATGAAATGCAGGAAAAAATGCGCATAATTTAATATTCCGTACAAGGAAGTCACGTAGTGTACACATCAG